CTCCTGGCCTTTTTTTGTTTTTATTGCCTACACGCCACACACTGTTATCGAGCCTGGACAAAAGCCAAAAGATGTAACCACAAAGACAAAGTTAAAAAAAAAGGATGATTGTGACTACTGTTGAAATGGAGGGAGAAAAAGTTGAATCAAAAAGAGCCCAGTGAAGAGAGAACAAAGCTGGCAACTCAGGTTTTCCAGAGTGTGTTCAAAGCTACTGTTCCCTATCTTTTTCTGATAATATATATGTCATAACTATTTTCCCTCGTAACAAAAAGTGAGAGAGTTTTGTAGTGAACAGCAGTGAGCCTCTGTGTGTCTCTGTGGGCTGAGAGGGGATGGTAAAGCTGCTCAAAGAGGGTGTGCTAATGGCCAAACATTCATCCATGTGAATACAGATGATCTGGCAACGCGTATGTGAAAGACAGGAGCAAGTTATTGATGGATTTTTGGATCTTCTTTGTCCTTGCCGTGTTCAAAAATTAGTTTTAATCTTAAAGTTTTCATTTGTGGCTCAAATTGACTGCATCTTTTTTTTTTTTATTATTAAAAGAGAGATTGGGAAGAAATAGTTGACCGGACTGCACCAGCTGAAATCCAAACTTCCTGAAATTCAATATATTTGTCCTTGCCTCAGACAGGGGACTGGTGTGGGGTTGCCGAGGGTGTTGTTGGGGACTATTGTACATCTGTTTAGCACCTGGGGAAACCTATTCGGACATGGGGAGAACATGCAAACTCACGTTCTGGAAGGTTCTGTCTGGAGATGACCGCTGTGCCACCATTCCATTCTACAGCGATGAACCATGTGGTCTCTAAGGCAATCAAACTAAGAACACAGTAGTTTCCAACTCCTCACCCAAATGTTTTTGTGTATAATTGAAGCTTGGAAAAGGTGGTTGGTGCAGATTTGAAGACACATCATTGTTGGACAGTCCCTGGGGCAGCTGTGACACTAACAGCTTAAGTGTGATTAGTGAATTAATAATGAAATCTAAAAAGGTAGAAACGGTCAGATGCTCTGAAGACTGTGGTGAGACTATTTAGTTTTCCCCACACAAAATGTGTTGTTGCAATTTTAAATCAAATTAAAGACCAGCACAAACCATAGCAACACATTTTCTTGTGATATTTCATCAGATTTACTGATGTCTGATCCAGTTTCCCCTTAGTTCTTTGGTCTCCCCCGAACACTAAAAATAAGTACAATATTTAAAACCCACCAGCTCTGGTCCCGATCAAGCAGAGCATGAACATCTGGGGTTGGGCCCCAAGTGCTCCTGGCCCCTACTGCCCCTGATAGAGGCCCCACAGGCTTTGAAGTATGCATAAGACACATTTATATATGGGCTTTGGTAACATTTACCTTATCAGCCGATATAAACCCATCTTTATAAAGATTTTTTTAAATGTGCTTTTAAATTAGGCAAGGGTTAAACAATAACACAAACTAATCAACATTTGAATAGTCAATTGTCATTAAAAGTAATTTACAAAGCTGGGTAAATCACTATTTTGTTTCATAAATAATATTTGTTGTCTCATTAGAATTGAATTGAACAAACCACAACATGTTATCTTTTGCTTACGTCACTTTTTCTGTCAGAAAAGTTGTCATCTAAATGTGACAGAGGCCATCCATACATGCATGTGTACACTAGTGGCAGAACCAAACAGTGAGAATCAGGACAGACAAGATGTATTGCAAAGTTATATATTTTTGGGTGGTTTGAGAGTTAGGTATCCCAGCTTTACATCTGGCAAAGTTACCATAGATACAAACACAGCTATTATGTCTGTAAATAACATCTAATTTTCCTTCTTTATATCTGGAATTTGACTGCTTGACATGTCTCTATCTGTGTTCTCCAATCCGGATGCACGTTCTCAGCTCAAATGTTCACTCTCACAGCTGCCGCCTCTTCTGCTTATTTCAATACTTCTGGCTCCGGATTGAACTTGTGTGAAGTGAACAGCAGTGAGCACTCTGTCCTTTCCCTTCAGAAAACATTAGCGGCTGAATAGTGTGCTGCGCTGGGGCCAGAGGAGCCTAATTGACCCGTGTTTTTGTCCAAATGATGCGCTGCTGTAAAAGCCTTGTTTGACATGTGCATCTTCACACTGCATTATATAAAGCCAGTACTTCTCAAACTGGAGTAAAGGTACAGCTTTGGAGGATCTGTGCCAAAGCTGCTTTGCTGCTATACACAGTAAATATGTGAGATTTATAATATATGTTTTGGGTATATAGCAAAACCATCATTCTATAGTTTGTATTTAAAGCTTTGATTGGACTGGTCCTACAGTACTCAATGGACTGGCCCCAGGGTACATTTCAGGTCTCATTCAAATCTAGCTCCTGCCCCAGCTCATGGTGCCAAAGATGAGACTTAAAACCAGTGGGGATGAACGCTCTTCATCCCATGTTCGAACTGCAACTTCTGTTGTGTTGTGTGGTCCTCTGTGCCTCATTTATATATACAGTACATACACTTTGGAAACTATGTGTTTATTCAATTCAATTACTTTTGTTTATCCCCAAATCATACATTGTTTCTATCAGTGAATCCCACAGTTAGAACACAGGAAATGCATCATAAACGCAGATATAAAAAAAGTGTCCAAAAAAGATTGGATTGAATTTTGTCAGGATTGTCCACAGCTGTCCTCAAAGGCCAGTGTGGCTGCAGACCAAGCAGGAGCAGAGCAGACTCCACCCATTTCCCCAAATCATCAGGTTAAGACTGAGTGTGCTGTGTGCTGTGCTGTGCTCCTGCGTGGTCTGTAAGAAAACCTGCAGCCACACCAGCCCCCTCTGGACCAGTTTGGAGACCCCTGGATTATGCATTCCCTTCATATGCATTGTGATGGAAAACTACACAAACCTTGGGGAGGACTCATGAACGCGACCACCCCTGCGCACAACCAGCCATTCACACACGACAGATTCATATCTGTCTTGTCACCACAAAATGATGGAGTGATGCATGTTCAATTGATATTTTCTGATACTTTACAATTGTCTTAGAATGATTCATGCGTAATTGAGTAATATTATTCTCTTGCATTTAAGTTGTCTTTGTCACTAGACTAGACCTTTGTCACTATCTATATATTTATCTTCTTGGTCATCCATTTTGGTTTGAATGAAATAAAGAATTTTCACCTGTGATCTGTGCTTCCAAGGACCCAGACACAGATCAATAGAGCAATGTCAAATGTTTACAATAAGTAAACACAAGTGTCGGTGATTAACACTAGCAGAAAAGTGTGTCTATAGAATGTGCCGGTATTGCGCGGCACAAATCAATATGGTGACTGTATTTATCGAACTTAAGACAACATGGAATTTTAAAGAGCTGTGGTTATAAAAAACAAAACCAGAACTACTGCAGCAACAGTTATTATCCCTCCGAACTAAAAGTGGCAGATGAAAGCAGACAGCTGCGTGTGAAAAGTCTTGAGTTGGAGAGCGCTGCACGATAGCTTCATTCAGAACGTGAGTAGAGGAAGTGCGTCACTCAAGTCAACGCCGAGAAAAGAAAGAGACGCATTTAAGCAGATTAATGCAACCTCCACAAATAGAACTACTATTCAGGCTGAAGTAGAGTGGAGCAGGCTCTGGTGAAGGAACGAGAGCATCCTAACACTGCAATATCAGTGAGTTTACAGCTAAAATGCTTTTACCAAGGTTGTACTTTAGGAAACATATGATGAATTTGAATCCAATCGTTATCCACCTGCAGTGTGAGGGCCCTCAGGGTCCTGTCCTTGCGCTGTTCCTCTTCACCCTCTACACGGCGGACATCTCATCAACGCAGGGATGATCAATGAGATGGTGGTGCAGAAGTCACTCTGCTGCTCCAGCCCCACAGAACATCCACTCGTACATGGGTGTTCATTTGAACCACAAACTGGACTGGACTCATAATACTTAGGAAGGGCCAGAGCCGGCTCATACCTGCTGAAGAGGCTCAGGTCTTTGGTAGTGCAGGGGCAACTCCTGAAGACCTTCTATGACGCTGTGGTGGCGTAAGCCCGAGCTCGAGGCCGGGCTGGTCGTATCACAGCTGACCCCTCTCACCCTGCACATGGACTATTCCAACCACTCCCCTCAGGCAGGAGACTGCGGTCCATCAGGACTAGAACCTCCCGCCACAAGAACAGTTTCTTCCCCTCTGCTGTTGGACTCTTGAACACTTCTTAACCTGTCCCCCCGCCCTTTATAAAGTCACTTTACTGCCCATCATACGTACCTCGATAACGTTATCGATAAAAGTAGGACATCTTGTCAGGGCTCACAAAGAACGGTATTTGGAGAAGTTAAGGATCGCCGAACTGAATGTTGACCCGTACCTTCTCCCCCCAGTCAATTTTATCGATTAAATGAAATGTCTAATTTTGCCCGAATTCACCCTGCATGATCTTTATGTCGTTAACATTTCATCCCCTTACACTGGAGCAGATTTAAATGTACATTTTGCAGGTAGCATTAGCTCATTAGCAATAGTCCGCTTTTCTGTGGCCTTCTGTCTACAGCCAAACATTATACATATTGACAGAGAGGAAAATAATCCGTGTATCATTCGTTCTTTTGATTTTCTAAATAAAACCAACATTGAAAAAACGAATAACAAGGGATGTTTTTGATTCTCAATATTTGAATTTAATGCAAAATTGAAATATTGGTTTGTTTTTTTGTTTTCTGTGGATCCAATTAAAACGAAAATGCAGTAAACCAATAATGACCGTCTAAATTACATTTTGCGATTTTCCTTTGAAACACAAACGTCCCCCGGAAGTGATTCGAAAGTGCGCGTTTGTCACGAGAACAGGAAGTGTCGCCTCCAGGTACTTGGATCGCACCTTGTTAGCGCTGGTTGTAGGAGAAATGTCTCTTAAAACTCTCCTCAACATCAGTCAAATTACCAGCTTTTTCGTTCGCTGCTGCAGAGACCATCGCAGATGAGAATTCTCAGATTCACGAGAGAAGGGGTTCTTCGATGAAAAATATATACACAAGTGTCAAGGTAAGACATAACTTAGCAACTAGCGCTAACAGCTAAGTTAGCGTTAGTTACGACACATTTAACTTAAGCACATACATGAAACACTTACACATGTAACAAATGTACCTAATGTGGGTGCTTTATTATTATAAATGTATGTTATAGACTTTCATATTATATAAGGACATGATATGTTTGTGTATTGGTGAAAGTAATCATGCTAAATTTTAGTAAATAAAAGATGATGCTAGATGTACCTTAACCATTCAATTGTTTCTGCTTCATTCTCAATTATTGTCGAGGGACAGTAGTTAGAGCTAGATGCTTCAGGCTTATGAAGAGAAACGAGGAGCCCTCAGACTGCAGCTTTGAAACAGTCAGAAAGACTGCAGGTTTGAAACAGTCAGAAAGACTGTAGGTTTGAAACAGTCAGAAAGACTGCAGGTTTGAAACGGTCAAAGCCGCTGGGCTCATGTTCAGCTTGAGTTCCTGTCCTGATAGAAGACTAGCATAGCATCTTTCTGTTTGGTGGTTACTATTTCTCTTCTGCTGACTTTATAAGATAGTTAAGTTATAACAAGTAATAATTATATGTCTGTTCTAAACCCACTTTTCTGTTTTAGATCTCACTGGGTGTGCAGCAGGTAAAGGTTTCAGACTTCACACTACTCCCAGCCTCGGCCTGTACCAGTGATCTGCAAAGCTCTCACGCTGGTCCTGGTCTGTACCAGTGATCTGCAAAGATGGATGTGTTTATGTCAATGCAATAAAATTAATAATAACTGATCTACAAATCTCCTTTTTGTTCCTTTACATTTTAAACTTTCAACTCGTGTTTATCATTGTAAATGTATGTTACAAAATTAGAATCATTGCATGAAAAAGCACGTACTCATCAGTGTACATTATGTTCTGTCACATTTGAAAGTGTAAAAACTGTTCTTAAATCCAGTTGTCCTGGTCTTAATGGGCATTACACACGCAGTGACCTCACAGATAGAGATGTAAACTGTATGGTCAATCTAACATGCTGGTTAGGAAGTCTAACATGTGTTCTGTGAATGTAAAAACCTCCTTGTTCCAGTCTTTTTGGGCTCCTTTATTCACAGACCAACTGTGGCGGAGCTACAAGCAGTCAGTCTGCAGAGGTGAACAGTTTCCTATGACTCAGTGAGGATGCTGCTGAAGATCCCAGACACAGTCGTCCAGTCAGATGTTTGCTGAGTGCAGGGTGCGCTCCTTTCCTACGTCACTGCTACTATCAGTCATGTGTAGAGTCATGATGGTACCTAATAGTATTGTACAGTCCCTGGTTTGCCCTTACATTAGCTCAGTCAGGTTCACTTCTAAACTTTGGAGTCACTGGCTTCTTTGTATGTGTGACTTGCTGTAAATATGTGATTATGTGTCTTTTTAACAGCTTTTTTTTGTGTATTGTTATTTCATTCTTAGCTCTGGATCCTGTGCTTGCATGTAAGTCCTTAGTAAAGTCTAAATAAAATTGGACCCTTGTTGCTGGTGTAAGTTGTTCTGTAAAGGTACATTCAAATACACAACGTCATTTTACAGTCTTGTTTAGTTAAGAATGTCATTTCCCTCTTGATACATAATCCACAAATGTTTTCCATTGCGATTCAACACAAGTGTGTTTTATTTGGGAACAAACAAAACAAAAATGATGAAAGTCTTTGTAATTTGCCAAAACAACAAGCTGTGATTAATTTGAATCCCTCTTGAATGTTGCAATATAAAATTATTCCAGGAAAAAGAGATGGAGCAGCAATAGTTTTAAGGCGGCTGATATGTAAATATATATATATATATGTATGTATATATTGGGCAGGAACATGATCCATGTTTAATGAATACATTTACTCAGAATACCTTTCTCTGAGCCACTTCAAAAAGTTTGCTTTCGTGATTAACCACTGTATCAAAAAGAAGGGACATGACTCAGCTGATGACTTGACATTTGGACAAACCTAGTCGGTGTAACGTGGTTGATATTTCTGCATATGTTTGAATGTTTTAGAACCATTCTATCGCTGTATCTGCAAAGTCTTCCAACGCACCCATCATTTAGTTCATCTCCACCGCTACTCCACTGTTTACCTGCGGGGTGCGCACTTGCGAATCACTTCCGGGGGATTCTTGTGTTTCAAATGGAAATTGCAAAAAGTAATTTAGACGATCATTATTGGTTTACTGCATTTTCGTTTTAATTGGATCCACAGAAAACCAAAAACAAACCGATATTTCAATTTTGCAATATTGAGAATCAAAAACATCCCTCGTTATTTGTTTTTTCAATGTTGGTTTTATTTAGAAAATCAAAAGAACGAATGATACACAGATTGAAAATAGTAAAAAACGCAACTGATGTCAAAGATAAAATAGAGATCCTTTATTCGTGCCACAATGAGGAAATGTCAATGTTGCAGCGCACATACAGGACAGTAGTATGAGCACACGTTTGACTTCAAGTGTTTGTTGTGTCATTGTCCTCCAAATAAATTAATGGAAAGAAAATAAATTCAAAATTGTAATTGATTTATTTTGTAAGAAGTGTTCACTGCAAATTCATGAGTACTTGGATGGCTCCCAGTCCTTTTGGTTGATTGCCGCTGGCCATCTTTGTCCTCTGTCTGCATCACGAGCCTTGCCTGTTAGTACAACCAACCACACTGCACAATGTCACAGTCTTGGCTCTTATTCGGTGAAGCAGGTTGTTTTGGTCAAGTTTCAAAGGCTCGCAGTTAAGCCTGGTTCACACGGCAGGATATTTAGGCCGATTTAGACCCGATTTACCCCTTACGACAATCTTAAGAAACGCTCCGATTTCCGTAACAAAATCTTACAGATTATCCTGCCGTGTGTGGTGTGTTAAGACTGCACTCGTCGCTCGGAAGGACATCGGGACTGCTCCCGATCTCAAATCGGGGATATCCAACATGTTGGATTGTTTTGGCCTGATTTCTCTTCGTGTGTGGTGTCCCCCGAGGACAGACGTGCGCGTTGCAATGACTGCGGCGTGTAGCCAATCAGAAGACGAGACGAGGCGGTGAGGAAACGCCTCCATATCACGATGTAGCAAGTATAGTCCATGCTCGTGTTGTCTACACTTCTTTGACCATCGCCTTTTCTTTTGATTACGTCTTTTCTCCGATAAAAACAAACTATCGCCAATGCATCCTCTTCGTCCGCCATGTGTGTTTACTCTGAAGTCACGCTTGATCTCGCGAGACCTGAGATTTCCGTCTGATCTGTGAATACTCGGGGGGAAATCGGTTCGTGTGTGGTTTGCGTGATTTTTGCCGTGTGGCTGCGCACCACACACTGTACGACCAAAGTGGTTAGACCCGTGATTTTTTATCTCACTGTGTGGGGTCTCACACAGAGTAAAATCGGCCGACAATTTTAAAATCGTCTCGTGTGAACCAGGCTTTAGACTTCCGCAGTCTGTCATGGAGATGGAGAGTGGGCGTGACATCTACAGGACAACACTGTTTTGAGAGCAAGAGGCTTGTTAGATGAATTGCATTTGTTCATATTTGTGGTTTGAGAGTTTGGTACCTCAGCTTTAGTCAAGCACGCAATAGTTTTCAATAACTGTTTGATATCTACCCCAACAAAACAACTATCGTCAGGGTAAAAAATACACTTTAAAAAAAGATCCTTCCGTGTTCTGCTAACACAGCTGAAAAAGTAAATTGAGTTTCAATCCTGGATCAAAAATTCTCAGGAGGGACAAGAAGTGAGCTTTGATTATAATGAAAACTATTTTCACACAATCTGATAAGTCCGACATGAGAGAGCAGAGCCAGACCAGATACGTAGCAATTGACAGATGTAAAATGTAAAAACACTAATGATAAAGAATATGAATTTGGTTAATAATGGTGGCTTACAAAAGAACTGCTGAAAATAATGAAGGCAGTTCAGTCCGATGCTAAAAAAGTAATAACATTCTTAGAGAGATTCGGTCCTGCACGATCACCTTGGGGTTTTTTTTAATGAAGACTTCCATGGTCGATCCTGTGTCAAGAGAAAAAGTTTGAAGAGTTCAGAGGAGGAGGAAAAGACTTTTAAATTTTTCAATTGAGTTTTTCATCTCCTTTCATCTGAGAGACATACAATAAAATCAATAAATGAGGACAGACTGATCCCTATGTTTGATCAATACTTTACTGAATGTGTGCAATATCTGATTACAGGTGATTTTATTATTTGAAAACCAGTGAGCAAAGACTTTCCTCTCTAGAGATATGACTTGTAATTATCATTTATTGCTTGGCCGGCAAGGAAGGGCACACTTTTTATATCAGGACATGCATTAGATTCATGACTGACCGGTCTGAGCGGACTATAGGGCTGTGATTAATGATGGTTGTGATAAATGATTGCTGGGTGGATAATCCATTCAATAAATCTGTCAACTATCGGTTGTTTAAATCCCAAAAGCACAGTTAATATGGGATTATTTATATGTTTGACCAAAACAAAGCTCAAGTGATGCCACTGAAGACTTGTTTCCACCAGTTGTACATGGCCCTGCTCTACTCTACTCTGATAGAGCACTTGTACCAGCCAGGTTTAACTTTTTAGTACCTGCTTGGCCCTGATTCTATACAGACCGAGCAGATAAAGTTATTCTAACTACCAGTGATTGGCTCGAGTGCTTGTGCTATTGGATACCAAGGAATTTCTGTGGATACTGGTTTGTTGTATAGGGTATGGTAACAAATTTTAGCGATACACTGATCTCAAAATACGAAATGATTCAAGATATTCAGCACACAAAACAATATATATAACAATGTTCAGCCTACAATGGGGTCCGATTTGATATAATTAGATACTTACATAATTTCCTGAAAGATGTAAGTGATTTAAGTGTCAAGGGTTTGCGCTGGTCACATTATGGCCATGTTGTGGCTGCTTTTTTTGCTGAGCTGTTGTCAAAGCGACTCACAATGGCGTCTGTGTAGTGCGGGGCGGGGTAAACACAGGGATTTGAATTGGATTCATACTTGCGGCTGAAAAATCTATTTTGTATCATAGGGAACACATCAATTTATATTGCAAATAGATTTTTTCCTGCACCCCTAATATTAAGTGTAATGAAAACACAACCAGGTAAGGAAAGGACAGTAGAGAAGAGTAGAGACACCAAGTGTCCCTGGTGGAAACGAAGCTACAGAAGTAACTCGCTACACATTGACTTCTTCGAATAAAAAAATGTTATTTTTTGAATCATAAAACTCTCGGCCTGTTTAGGTGGAATGTGACGGTTCAGCATAAAGCCTTCCTCAAGCAAATATTAGATGAGCACCAGGATGTCATCTTCAAGAGGGTGGGCAGGAACCCATGTACAGTCGCCACACCCAGAGCATTTCTGGATCAACCACATGTACAAATTAGTTAAAACTGTAAGATATCATAAATATATACATGTTACATACTGTACATACACTGACGAACAAGCCCATACAGGAGGATATGTTTGTGATGTGAGACTCACCAGCCACTTTATTAGGTACACCTATCCAACTCCACTTTAATGCAAATTCCTAATCAGCCAATCACATGGCAGCAACTCAATGCATTTAGGCATGTAGACATGGTCAAGAGGATCTGCTGCAGT